ACGAAGTTATACGACGTTCAGTTCGCTTCCGATAGTGGGGCAGTTCCGAGAAAGCACGCATGGGAAAAATTGAGTTAGGTAACTGTGCTCGCGGGAAATCTTTACAACCCTTTCACCACGCGAGTCATACCTTCCCTGAAACAATCGCGCAAATGTGAATACAACCTCTCATAAACGACGATTTCAAATGAGTATTTTTTTCTCACCTCTTTGCTCGTTGACGGCTCATCAGCCAGACCACTATGAGACGCTCCTCGTAGTAGTGGCATTACAATGAGGCGAAGAAGGGGATGAAATGCTAAAAAAAAATGACACTTCAAGATCGATAGGCAAAGCGGATAAGAAAGAACGAGCGCGCGCATCGTCACTAAAAGAAGCCAAAGCGGTGCAGAATCACATTAATAAACAGAAAAGAATTCGGTAACATAGTAAAAAGAACCTATACAACCGGAGCATGTTAACTGGAAAGTAGAGGTTCACAACATTATTAACCAATTAAGGGTCCATTTTCAAATAATTAGCTTTCTTTTTCTAATCAAACTGTACCAAACATCACCAACAATAGTTCGTCGAAAGGCTGGATGTGGTATATACAAAAAACTATCATGAATTATCCCAAAATCCCTACACTCTGAATTGATCATTCCTTCAGCCATCACTTTGTGAGAAAGCTGCACCAACCCCCAAATTGCAATGGCGTTGAATACAACACTATTTAGCGCCACGTTAAGCTTAGTCCACTCACGCTCCACTCTTGCGCTTCTGGTTGCCATTAAAGAGCTCAGCACTTCGGTAACAACTTCATACATTTGCCCTCACTAGATGAACATTGCACGCTTAATATCTATGGATTTCTTATATTCTGGACACAAATTTGAAAGATCCAGAATTACCAAAGCTTACAACGAAACCTAATTGATGATTCTGCAATTCTGGGACGGCCCCTCCCTACCTTTACCCTCTCACTCTGTCAACCTAGGGCCTCTACTCAATTTTCTGATTTCTTAGGTATAATCATCGAGTCTTGCCGTATAAAACGCACCTTTCCTGCGCGGCCTTTTTTTTAGAAAATACAAAAACTTTGCGCCAAGCGCTTCTGAAAAAATGTGAATTCGGGGCTGTATATTTTAAGAAACGTACCACGAGCCAACCAATAGCGCAAGCACATCTCGAATCAAAAAAAAATGTTTCCTGCGAACAGAAGGCGAGTAAGGGGCTTCGCTTCTACAGGACATGAAGCTGATATTTGAATGCTTCACCATAGCGCGCTCAGACTACAGCACTTTTTCCAGTGAAGACTTTTACTGTTCAAATTCCCACCATTAAACAGCCACCATTGGCTTGAACTATCATGCGTCCAAAAGGAAAAAAAAACTTTATCAAATAGTGGGAGATAAGCTTTGGGGAGATGGGAACAAAAGTGAACAGCACATTGGAGCCACGACAGTAGAAGAAAAAACCATATTCAGGAGAAAACGAAACACTTTTCCGGACGAAACCCCTGCCAGTCATGTTTGAGGGATCTCCTCTCGTTTAAAGGGGGATGATCACAAAGGAAGAAACTTTCCTTAATGTAAATGGAGAAAAGGAACAGAATTAAAAGCAATATGAGACGAAACCATACTCTTTTATATCATCATTATATCTTACATTTACTATTATGATATTATGGATATGAGACGAAAATGCAACCAATAACCCCCAAAACGAGCGAATCAAAGAGACCCTTGGGAATTCAAACAGCCGAGATCACCCGAACGAGGATGCCGCGCATTGGCAAATGATGACGTAAGCGATGCTCAGCGGACGCGGCGCGGTCGCGCCACGACCGGCGGGACCCTCGCGGAATTCAATACGAAGCCGCCAACGACCGCCGAGCGACGCCGCAAAAAATCGTCCGCCGATTGCGTGCGGTCGCGCAGCGGTGCTCTGCGGTGGAGCACAGAATCTCCTTTCGACAGCTCATATGATACAGAGGTCGTCAGGGTGTGGTTCACTACGACAGAACGCGACTTTTTCGCGTTTCGCAGCGCGAAACATTCTCCGCTGCAGGAACCTCAGGTCCACCGCTGAATCATCAGTGGACCCGAGATTCCCGCAACGAACAATGTTTCGCGCTGCGAAACGGGAAAAGTCGCTTTCTGTCCTAGTGAACGACACCCAGGTCGTCACGGCAAAGGAGCACTCAGGCCCCTCTGGTCGTTAAGCTTAGACGTATGAGGAAGGGAAGATAGAGAAGTGGGGGGACCAATCAAGGTGTTCGCCACCGTTAGAATCATTTGCTTTCATGCTTACTTACAATAGTTCCCTTCTTCGCAAAGCACATGCACCCTGTAGCATGTGCGAAAATTGGAGAAGTGTGAACAGGCAAAATGTTGCTGCACCCCCCCCCCCCACACTTGCAACACTTACAACGTCTCTTATCCTGCGCTTCAAAGAACGGTGCTTTCTTTATCGCGTGATCCTGTGGCCTTCTTCGCACGCCTTTACCTGGACAAGAACAGTATGTATGATCGCTCTGAGTCCTCGATCCTGCGTAGCACTTAGCCACAGGTCCACTTAAGCACATTTCAGCGGGTTGGAGCTTTCCCTAATAGTTTTTGCTTACCACTGCCCGATACACGTTGCCTTCGAAATTCCTGGAGCACCTTCGATCACCGAGGACACCACTCGACCGCCTCCATTTCGTTCATGCCGCGTTGATCCATGCCTTTAGTACGCAGCAAGACGAACGAGCTCAGGGCTAATGGTAAACTACCTCTGCATTAGGCCGATGTCAGACTTTGCGAATCGAGCGATTCGCTAGCGTCTGCGGTCGCGTCGCGGCCAGCGAATCACTCAATTGGCTGGTACCGCAACGCGACCGCGGACGCTAGCGAATCGCTCGATTCGCAAAGTCTGACATCGGCCTTACATACGGCGCTTCTCCAGTATGGGGAGGAAGATGTCGGAAGTGATCCGCCCACCTTTGATCCATCCCTCTGGGCAGAAATTCTCATCAGCTGGCTTACCATCGCTTCTTATTGTAGGGCCGTCTCCCCCTCCCTGCACCACCTTCTCCCCCTCACGTTTACTGGTCAGAAAACAGGGAATATTTGGCGCTCCGAAGCTCTGCACCAAAATCTTTCACTGGAGAAGTGCTTTCTAGATGAAACTTTCAAAAAAATATTAGAGATAGTGTGCGTGCGGTAATTGATCGATTTCGGATGCGCCATGCATCCGTTTTCAGCACGGAGTCGTATTTATATCCAAACGCGTAGGATATCAGCATTACTCTACACCTAAGCAATTCTTTCTTTCATTTATTCTGGACCTGATTCTACGAAGAGGAAGACGAGAGATCCCAATACTTTGGTGGTGTCCATTCATTGAGGAGTGATAAATTAAGGAAATCAATCTCCTCACCACGTTATTTTCTGTGAGGGCGTAGACGGCCCCTATAATTTAGTTCCATCCTTTTAGCCTTTAGCCGATTGTTTTCAACCTCCCTCTTATGATTAGCAGAGAAACTACTTACATAACATTTTGGAAGACACGGTTTCTATGATAAATTTGATCATGCCAGAGGAATACTCTCAGCAACTCCTCGTAAATCTCAATACTTCGGGCAGCATCAGCGCATTGACAAGCTGGCTGACTTCGACACAGGGTCAGGAGGCTGACTTCGACACAGGGTCAGGAGCATCACTTCAGTATACAAGGGAGAAGGGGGGGGGGGCAAAAAGACTCACTCCTCTCCACAACTAATACTGTATCGACTTCCTTTTAATAGATTCAAACCATATGGGCGACAGGAAACGGGGAAATTCAATATATCAATCAAAAAAATGACATTCTAACGTGCGGGTCATAATGGTCTTCTACGGCAATAATAGCGCGGTGTCATCTACACAATGAGATTACTGGGACCTACGCAGACTATTACAACGCTTATCACCTGAATGCAGTTTGGAAGAGGTCTTGCATAGTCAAGACTACTGTCTCTCGGAAGCCACACACCATTCAACCGAGGGAAATGTAGCAGCTTCAGGCTGGAGTGAATACGGTGGGCCTCTTGCTTGACGCTGATGGCAGATGACATCACATTTTGAAGACGGTGAGGAGTAGTGGAGGAAGGCGTGTTTCTCGTCATGAGGACATCTGATGAATATTTTACTGTGGAAATTTCGTCTTAGTATTAGCTGCAGAGGGTGGGAGGAGCATCCAGCAAGGACCGCCGAAGCTTTGCCAGCTACAAGACCAAGATGACCTGCCTCCGACGTCCGGATGGAACAGTTACTGCATCCCGAAGGGCAATGGAGAAAGTCATCCACGACTTCTACTCGGATCTCTTCGATAGCCATGTCCATCTGCCTACTTATCAACCGCAAGAGGATGGATACGTCGTCCCCTCAGTTCTCTCTTCCGAAGTCCGACACGCCATCAAGTCGGTGAAGAATCGTACAGCACCCGGTCTCGACAGGGTCAAACCGGAACATCTGAAGAATGCGCCGCCAGTCATCATCAAAACTCTGGCTCGACTCTTCACGCGCTACCTGTCGGAATGCAAGGTACCCACTCCGTGGAAAACCAGCAGGACCGTGTTGCTGTACAAGAAGGGAGACCTGGACGACATTGGCAACTATCGCCCAATCTGCCTGCTGTCTGTAATCTACAAGCTATTCACTCGAGTCATCCTTAACAGGATCGGCAGAATACTAGATGAAGGACAGCCATGCGAGCAAGCAGGGTTCCGAAGAGGGTTCAGCACGATCGACCATATCCACACGGTTACAAGACTCATTGAAGTTTCACGAGAGTACAAGATGCCGCTTTGTCTCACGTTCATCGACTTGAAGAAGGCCTTCGACTCTGTGGAGACAGAAGCGGTCATCGAAGCGTCCCTACTCAGTACATCAAGATTCTTCGTGAGCTCTACAGCAACTTTACGACCAGGATCTCACCATTCTACAAGGAGGTCATCATCGACGTCAAGAGAGGGGTTCGACAGGAAGGACATGCGGCTGTGGTAAGGTTAGCCTACAGCCGAACCTAACGAAGCGATGTATTATGAGAAATTTATTAGTACTGGCCCTTTCAGGCCTCAGGCAACGGAAACGAACATCACCGAATGCTCCAGCTACGTGTACCTAGGTCGGGAAATCAATATGATGAACGATCTAGCTCCAGAGCTGAGCAGGAGGAAACGAGCGGCTTGGGGAGCGTACAAGAACATCGAGGGAGTAGTGAAGAAGACGAAGAACATCCGGCTCCGTGCCACCTCTTCGATTCCGCTGTCCTTCCTGCCCTAACCTACGCCTCAGAGACTTGGACTCTGCGCAGGCAGGACGAGCATGCGGTCAGCGTTATCCAACGCGCTGTCGAGAGGACGATGCTAGGAGTAACCCTATACACGCAAGTGCAGAGGGGAATCCGGAGTGCCGAACTACGCCAACGATCGAAGATCAGGGACGCTGCCGTTTTCGCCAAGGAATCGAAGATAAGGTGGGCCGGACACGTCATGCGATTTTTGCGATGACGCCATAGCATTTTACTGGATCCCTCGGGACGTCAAACGAACACCTGGACGACCGCCGGCCCGATGGTCAGACTTCTTCACGAAAGCTCTGAACGAAAGGAATGAAGGACATCGTGTCCCTCGAGCGAGGAGGGTCCACTGGACAACTCTTGCACGCGACAGGGACGAATGGAGACGTTGCTGGCGCCCGCTCGAGCAATTCGATGATCAACGGGACGACAGGTGATACAGTGTGGTATACTAAGGTGCCTCAGAAGCCATGACTGTATCAAAATACTTCACAAGATAACCCCTAGGATACTTCCTATTTCCTCGGAATTCGCCCCTCCCCCTCAATAATTCAACCGTGATATCACTCTCTACACAGCCAGTAGCGCTTTAAAATTGCAACTAACCATCTGTTCAGACTAGGTTCATTTCTCAAAGGAGAGATATCGACAAAACCTTGTGATCAATTTTGATCCGTAAGCATTCTAGCTAGTTGTTTTCAATGAGGTCGACTTTCCGCCATAATTTTCATAAAAGCATGACGAAAGAAATGAAGCACATTCTGTCATGAACTTTTTTAATGCATCGGAAAAAACTGCAAAGGAGATATATGAGAACTTCAAAATGGTAGTGAGAATCGGAAATATTAAACACATACATAACCACTTTATGTAGAACTCTAAACTCCATAGAGTTTACGAAAAATTGCACATTGGTTTCATACATCACAGTGTAATAGGCCAGGCCAACACCCAACCCATGGTCCCTGATAAGAAAATATCCCATAAATAAGACAACGATCAAATTTCAATACGAATAAACTTAGCAAACAGGCTATGCAGTCACACTAATGATTGAATAACATGCCGTTGTGGAGCGCTACTTAGGATGGGGTCGTTTTTTTGAGAACTTGCTATCCACTGCGTCCATAATGAGTCCTGAGAACACGATGAAGGTCGCCCATTTCTGTCGCTCCAGCAACGGATGATTCATGAACACCACAGATATGATAATTGTGAACAACTTTCGTGTGGTAGTGATCACCGAACAAGTGAGTGGAGAGAATTCACTGATTGTTTTGAAGATGAAATACTGAAAATAAGCCGAATTTAGAAGGCCGGTACCATGTACAATTAGCCCACCTACGATAAATTTTGTAGCAGCATACGGAATAAAGAATAAATCTCTCTAAAAGGTAACTCAAAACTATGAAAAAGAATTTATAATGCAAATTTCTCTTGAATAGCTGCAAATAAAATCAAAGCATCTCGCGCTCATCATACCGTTTCGAGACACGCCACACATTCGGCTTTCATTTCAGTTTGAACCTATCATACCGCGGGCGCAGTTCGGGCATTTTGCCTCGAACTGTGCGTGTGCTATGATAGGCGTCAAACTTCGCGTGCAATCGCGAATTCTGCCACTGCCACTTGAAAGGTGAATTAGCGGAAGTGATAAAGCCTGGAGCGTCACTCCCACCTTTCGTTTTCACCAACCGGATAAAAAATGCATATGAAATCAAAAAGTACCACAAAAAACATACTCTATAACATACTCACCTGTCCTCCACAACTGGAAGCAGCAACAAAACACAGCTCAAACAAAACATGAGGATGGCGTTGCACAAATCCAATAAATTCGAAAAGTTCTCCGGTGACGAATAACCTGCAGAGTAAATGTTACTCAAAGAGTGAGCAACTAATTTGGGATTTTCCTGAGCAACTCACCCGATCATTAGATATATTGTTGAGAAAAAATTCATGAAGAACATCATACTGAGGGTGCTCCGCTTATAGCTTATATTAATTCTATCTTGAATTGATGTAGTAGTCCCATCCATAGTTAATGACAATAACTGAAAAGTTGCTAGTGAGTGTGAGTTAAAACAACTCGAGGGGCTTCAATGCTTTCTCAAGCAAAAAACGATGAAAAAGTTGCCGTTCACTGCTTCACCGAATGCTCCAGCTACGTGTACCTAGGTCGGGAAATCAATATGATGAACGATCTAGCTCCAGAGCTGAGCAGGAGGAAACGAGCGGCTTGGGGAGCGTACAAGAACATCGAGGGAGTAGTGAAGAAGACGAAGAACATCCGGCTCCGTGCCCCTCTTCGATTCCGCTGTCCTTCCTGCCCTAACCTACGCCTCAGAGACTTGGACTCTGCGCAGGCAGGACGAGCATGCGGTCAGCGTTATCCAACGCGCTGTCGAGAGGACGATGCTAGGAGTAACCCTATACACGCAAGTGCAGAGGGGAATCCGGAGTTCCGAACTACGCCAACGATCGAAGATCAGGGACGCTGCCGTTTTCGCCAAGGAATCGAAGATAAGGTGGGCCGGACACGTCATGCGATTTTGCGATGACCGTTGGACCAGAGCGGTTACCGACTGGATCCCTCGGGACGTCAAACGAACACCTGGACGACCGCCGGCCCGATGGTCAGACTTCTTCACGAAAGCTCTGAACGAAAGGAATGAAGGACTTCGTGTCCCTCGAGCGAGGAGGGTCCACTGGACAACTCTTGCACGCGACAGGGACGAATGGAGACGTTGCTGGCGCCCGCTCGAGCAAATCGATGATCAACGGGACGACAGGTGATACAGGTGAGGTGATACTGATGTGCTCCACAAGACCATGACTTGTCCAACATACTCACAAGATTAACCACTAGGATACTTCCTATTTCCTCGGAATTCGCCCCTCCCCCTCAATAATTCAACCGTGATATCACTCTCTACACAGCCAGTAGCGCTTTAAAATTGCAATTAACAATCTGTTCAGGCTAGGTTCATTTCTCAAAGGAGAGATATCGACAAAACCTTGTGATCAATTTTGATCCGTAAGCATTCTAGCTAGTTGTTTTCAATGAGGTCGACTTTCCGCCATAATTTTCATAAGGCATGACGAAGGAAATGAAGCACATTCTGTCATGAACTTTTTTAATGCATCAGAAAAAAAAACAATTGCAAAGGAGATATATGAGAACTTCAAAATGGTAGTGAGAATCGGAAATATTAAACACATACATAACCACTTTATGTAGAACTCTAAACTCCATAGAGTTTACGAAAAATTGCACATTGGTTTCATACATCACAGTGTAATAGGCCAGGCCAACACCCAACCCATGGTCCCTGATAAGAAAATATCCCATAAATAAGACAACGATCAAATTTCAATACGAATAAACTTAGTAAACAGGCTATGCAGTCACATTAATGATTGAATAACATGCCGTTGTGGAGCGCTACTTAAGATGGGGTCGTTTTTTTGAGAACTTGC